ATTAGCTGGGCATGGTGGTGCGTGCCTGTAATCCCAGCTACTCAGGAGGCTGAGGCAGGAGAATTGCCTGAACCCGGGGGGCGGAGGTTGCGGTGAGCCGAGATCACACCATTGCACTCCAGCCTGGGTAACATGAGTGAAACTCCATCTCAAAAAAAAAAAAAAAATTATTTTAGTGTGTGCCTCATTACTGCATTATATATAAATTACGATCCAAGGAGCTTAGTTCATTACAACTAATTGAAACTCAAATGGGACATATATGAACAGAAGTATGAGGGGCAGGGTGATGGAGGTGACTGCCTACTCAGCTCTGTGCTGCCCTGATCTGCGGTGTTAGACTCTAGCTGGCTCTGGGGAAAACCGGCCTGGGCAGAGGACTGGAAACGTCCGCCGAGAGCAGCAGGGAGCCTATTGGTTATGTTTTGACTTTTCTCGTAGTAATGTGTGCCAGGCTGATTTTTTTTTTTTTTTAAATCAGTCTTTTCTTCTTTGCCCTCTGCGTTTATTTTAAAAAGAAATGTTGAAGAGAAAGGAACTAGCATTTAATCAAGTCCCTCCAGGAGGTGGCCCCAAGCATGCCGTGCACACACTAACCCATAGCAGCCAATACTTGTTTTATGGATGGGAAACTGAGGCCAGAAGTCTTGTCTCTGGGACACAGAGAAACGAATAATGAATTCCCAGGACGAATCTCTGTAGGCGTCCCAGGGAAGGAGCCAGCTGTTTAATAAACGTTTTCAACAAAGGAAGGGTGGGAGGTATTCACCTAGAAGCGGCACAGGCAGGCCTCAGCAGAGCTGGGGGCAGAATGGGGGTCCTCTTGTCAGGGAGGTCAGACTGAGGACGTCTGCACTCCCTGCCCACAGCAAGTCCTGAGTCCATCCCTGAGGTCCTTTTTCGTAGGGTGTGCAAACTGCAGGTGTGCTGGCTGAGCTGGCTAGGGCTGGGGCCAAGGGGCAGAGGTGAGCATCCCCCTCACAGGGGCTCTTTTTGCAGATGATTGAGTCGAATGACATTTCAGAGGAGACAATCAGGACGAAGGAAACCGTGGAGGGTGAGTGGCCCCTGGGCTGGGTGGGACTCTGGGCTCTGGGGAGGGGCTGGCTGGCTCTGCCTTCCTTCTGGGTCACATTTTGGTTTGCATGATCTGCCATTTGGTGAGAGTCACCTCCTGTGTGCAGTGAACCATTTACTCCTACAGGGAAGGAGGCCGGTTTACGGAGGGATAGGCACCAGGTACTTTATTATTTGCTTGGTTTAAACCTTATTTTTAAAAGCAGGTCTAAACTTCAAGTGGTTCAAAGGGCATATAGCAAAATATTCCCTGTTTTCTATTCTTCCCTCCCTGAAGGCGCAGTGTTAGCTGCTTTATATCCCCTTTCCAGAAATATTTTGTGCAGGTACAAGCAACCAGGTGACACAGATGGTACTGTATTTTCCATTCTTTCAGCTCCTTCATTTATTCCATTTAACAGTGGATCTTGGAGATGGTTCCTTATCAGTAGTACAGTCTTTTTTTTTTGAGACGGAGTTTCGTTCTTGTTACCCAGGCTGGAGTGCAATGGCGCTATCTCGGCTCACCGCAGCCTCCGTCTCCTGGGTTCAAGTAATTCTCCTGCCTCAACCTCCTGAGTAGCTGGGACTACAGGCATGTGCCACCATGCCCAGCTAATTTTTGTATTTGTAGTAGAGACGGGGTTTCACCATGTTGACCAGGATGGTCTCGATCTCTTGACCTCATGATCCACCCGCCTCGGCCTCCCAAAGTGCTGGGATTATAGTAGTATATTCTTTTATAGAGTACAGAATATTCCATTGTGTGGAGGTACCATTGTGTATTTAGCTGGTTTCCAGTAACAATCACAGATTGTTTCCAGTCTTGGTCAATTACAAACGCCACTGTCGCAAATTACCTTGACTTCCACTGGGCACGCCAATTTTAACTCCCACTAGCTGTGGTTGAAAGCCTGTCTCCCCTCAAACTCCAACAGAATGTTTGATCAGACTCTGTGATCTTTGCTGATCTTTAAGGTAAAAGGTGTTATCTGAGGTGACTTCAACTTATCTTTCTCTTATGTGGATGAAGTTAAGAGGTATTTCTATTTGCATTTCTACTTGTGTCTTTTCACTATTTTTTCTGATTTGGTTATTGACCTTTTTGCTGATTTTTAGAAGCTCTTTATGTATGACATTGCAGACATTTTCCCTCCTTTTGTGGTTTTCTGACTTTTTTTTTATGGTGGTGTTGACCATGCAGATATTTAAAAAATTAGGGCAGGTATGGTGGCTTACACTTGTAATCCTGGCACTTTGGGAGGCTGAGGTAGGAGGATTGCTTAAACCCAGGAGTTCAAGACCAGCCTGGGCAACATGTGAGACCCTGCCTCTACAAAAAATGATCCTCTCCCCCCCCAAAAATTAGCCAGGTATGGTTGCATGTAGCCATAATCCCAAGTACTTGGGAGGGTGAGGAGGGAGGATCACTTGAGCCCAGGAAGTGGAGGCTGCAGTGAGCTATGATCATGTCACTGCACTCCAGCCTGAGTGACAGAGTGAGACCCTGTCACCAAAAAAAAAAAAAATTCATTTTTTAGTTTCTTGGTTAATTATCTTAAAAATGTATCCAGTGGTTTCTTCTGGTACTTGTTTGTCTTATTTTTTATGCTGAAATCTCTGACCATCTAGAATTTATCCTTATATAAGGTGTGAGGTAAGGATCCATTTTTATTTTTTCCCAAAGGAGTACCCACTTATCCAACACTATTTTTGAAAATGGTTATTTTCTCCCTGAAACCCTCATTGATTGGAATTATTAACCTTATCATCTTTAAATTCACTTATGTAATTGACTCTATTTCTGGACTTTTGTTCCATTCCAATGCCTTGTTATTCTATTCATGTGACAATTCTATAATGTTTTAATTAGTTAAGCTTCGTCTATGTTTTAATTTCTGGCATGGCTTGTTCTCTGCTTTGTCAAAATTCTCTTGGCTATTCTTATTAAAAAGTTAAGCTGAAATTAACATAACAGACATGTGCAGGTTTGTTATAACATTTAAAACATGAAAAAAATTAACATATAATCAGCCATTTTTCTTTTTCTTTTCTTTTTTTTTTTTTTTGAGGTGGAGTTTCACTCTTGTTGCCCAGGCTGGAGTGCAGTGGTGTGATCTTGGCTCACTGCAGCCTCCGCCTCCCGGATTCAAATGATTCTCCTGCCTCAGCCTCCCTAGTAACTGGGATTACAGGCACCCACCACCATGCTCAGATAAATTTTTTTGTTTTTGTTTTTGTTTTTTTGGAGAGGGGGGCTCACTCTGTCACCAGGCTGGAGTGCAGTGGCGCAATCTCAGCTCACTGCAATCTCCGTCTCTGGGGTTCAAGCAATTCTCTTGCCTCAGTCTCCTGAGTAGCTGGAATTACAGGTGCACACCACCACGCCCAGCTAATTTTTGTATTTTTAATAGAGACGGTTTCACCATGTTGGTCTTGAACCTCTGACCTCAGGTGGTCCACCAGCCTCAGCCTCCCAAAGTGCTGGGATTATAGGCGTGAGCCACCATGCCCGGCCAGTGTCAGGTCTTCTTCAGGGCAGATTACCCAGCAAGACAGCTGGAATGAGGAAGAACTTCGACCCTGGAGGCCAAGTGTGACCCCATCGCAGGGCTCCTGCGGGAGGGCCACGCCCCTGCCCACTGCCAATCTGGTCCAGGAGATTGATGCTTCTCATCTTTCCTCTCTCCCCTAGGCCTGCAGGACAAGCTGAACAAGAGGGATAAAGAGGTGACAGCCTTGACCTCCCAGACCGAGATGCTCAGGGCCCAAGTAAGTGGTAAGTCTCCCTCCCGCAGGGCAGATGCGGGGGGCTTTCACTGCGGCCGAGCCGCTTCAGCTGCCAGCTGAGTGTTGAGTGGGTCAGTGCCTGGCTCAGGGTTCCCTCCCCAGTGCTGCTTTAAGAAGAAAAGGGCCAGGGCCAGGTCACCTGCACCAGGCAGACATTCACCTGGAGAGAACTGAGTGGCCCACATGCGGTCTGGTTTTTTTTTTTTTTTTTGAGACAGAGTTTCGCTCTTGTTACCCAGGCCGGAGTGCAATGGCGCAATCTCGGCTCACCGCAACCTTCGCCTCCTGGGTTCAGGCAATTCTCCTGCCTCAGCCTCCTGAGTAGCTGGGATTACAGGCACGCGCCACCATGCCCAGCTGATTTTTTGTATTTTTAGTAGAGACGGGGTTTCACCATGTTGACCAGGAGGTCTCGATCTCTTGACCTCGTGATCCACCCGCCTCGGCCTCCCAAAGTGCTGGGATTACAGGCGTGAGCCACCACGCCCGGCTTTTTTTTTTTTTTTTTGAGACAGAGTTCTGCTCTTGTTGCCCAGGCTGGAGTGCAATGGTGTGATCTTGGCTCACCACAACCTCTGCCTCCTGGGGTTCAAGAGATTCTCCTGCCTCAGCCTCCCAAGTAGCTGGGATTACAGGCATGTGCCACCACGCCTGGGTAATTTTGTATTTTTAGGTTTCTCCATGTTGGTCAGGCTGGTCTCGAAATCCTGACTTCAGGTGATCCACCCGCCTCAACCTCCCAAAGTGCTGGGATTATAGGCGTGAGCCATTGCGCCCAGCTTTTTGTTTGTTTATTTGTTTGAGACGAGTCTCACTCTTGTTGCCCAGGCCGGAGCGCAATGGGACGATCTCGGCTCACTGCAACCTCTGCCTCCCAGATTCAAGCGATTCTCCTGCCTCAGCTTCCCAAGTAGCTGGGATTACAGGTGCGAGCCACCACACCCGGCTAATTGTGTATTTTTAGTAGACATGGGGTTTTAGTATATGTTGGCCAGGCTGGTCTCAACTCCTGACCTCAGGTGGTCCACCTCGCTTGGCCTCACAAAGTGCTGGGATTACAGGTGTGAGCCATCGTGCCCAGCCCACAGTCCATCTTATAATGGCTCCCCGTCAGTTTCTGCTCTGTGTTCTCTGTGTCCTGGAATTCCATCTCGGGTTCCCTCTGTTTTTTTTTTTTTTTTTTTTTTTTGAGACGGAGTTTCGCTCTTGTCACCCAGGCTGGAGTGCAATGGCGCGATCTCGGCTCACCGCAACCTCCGCCTCCTGGGTTCAGGCAATTCTCCTGCCTCAGCCTCCTGAGTAGCTGGGATTACAGGCACGTGCCACCATGCCCAGCTAATTTTTGTATTTTTAGTAGAGACGGGGTTTCACCATGTTGACCAGGATGGTCTCGATCTCTTGACCTCGTGATCCACCTGCCTCGGCCTCCCAAAGTGCTGGGATTACAGGCGTGAGCCACGGCGCCTGGCCCTTCGGGTTCCCTCTTTCTGGTCTCTCTCTCTCTCTCTTTCCTTTTTTGTTTTTGTTTTTGAGACAGGGTCGTACTCTGTCGACAGCACAGGCTGGAGTGCAGTGGAACAATCTCAGCTCACTGAGACCTCCACCTCCTGAGCTCAAGCGATTCTCCTGCCTCAGCCTCCCAAGTTGCTGGGATTACAGGCACACGCCACCATGCCTGGCTAATTTATATATATATATTTTTAGGAAAGACGGGGTTTCCCCATGTTAGCCAGGCTGGCCTTGAACTCCTGGCCTCAGGTGATGCACCCGCCTCAGCCTCCCAAAGTGCTGGGATTACAGGTGTGAGCCACTGCACCCATGCCCTGGCCCTGCTTCTTGTTCACCAGAATGCCAGCGGTGGTGGGCACGAGACAGCCACGCTCCTCAGAAATGGCCGCCACCCCCTCTTCTGTCCATCCCCTGGTACAAAGCAGAATTGTTCCCAAAAAAGGTCAGTGGACTTAAGATTCCTCCAAGGCCAAGGTGAAGATGAAGCTTTTCCTGACCCAGGCGGCAGTGTAAACACACATGTGCAGTCCCGTTCCCCACACCAGGAGCCCAAGCGGCGACTGTGCTTGGTGAGGGCTGATCTGTTTCTTGTACCTGTTCTCTCAGGCCCCTTGCCACCTGCCTTGTAGGGACAGTTGAAACCCATGGTGCTTTTAAAATGATGCAGTGGATGCTGGGCGAGGTGCTCATGCCTGTAATCCCAGCACACTGGGAGGCCAAAGAGGGAGGATTGCTTGGGGCCAGAGTTTGAGACCAGCCTATGAAACATAATGAGGCCTCCTCCCTACAAAACATAAAAATTTGGCCGGGGCGGGGCATGGTGGCTCATGCCTGTAATCCCAGTACTTTGGGAGGCCGAGGCAGGTGGATCACTTAAGGTCAGGAGTTCAAGACCAGCCTGGCCAACATGGTGAAACCCCATCTCTATTAAAAATATTTAAAAAACTGATGCTAGCATGCTGGGAATAAAAGAAAAAGAAGAAAAAAATATATATTAAAAAATTAGCCAGGTGTGGTGGCGGGCACCTGTATTCCCTGCCACTCGGGAGGCTGAGGCAGGAGAGTTACTGGAACTGGAAAGGCAGAGGTTGCAGTGAGCCGAGATCGCGCCGTTGCACTCCAGCCCAGGCCGACAACAGCGACTCAGTCTCGAAAACAAAAAAATGTGGCCGGGCACCGTGGCTCACACCTGTAATCCCAGCACTTTGGGAGGTTGAGGCGGGTGGATCACCTGAGGTCAGGAGTTTGAGACCAGCCTGGCCAAGATGGTGAACCCCCATCTCTACTAAAAACACGAAAAAATAGCTGGGCGTAGTGGTGTGCACCTGTAGTCCCAGCTACTCAGGAGGCTGAGGCAGGAGAATCACTTGAACCCGGGTGGTGGAGGTTGCAGTGAGCTGAGATCGTGCCATTGCACTCCACCCTGGGTGACAGAGCGAGACTCCGTCTCAAAAAAAGAAAAAAATTAAAAAAAAATAATAAACCGCTCAAAACTATGCAGTGGAGTGTGTCACCTTCAGGCCCTGGAGAATCAGCGCCTGCCCAGGTCTTTGCCCTTGGGCGGGACAGAGGCTCACGCGTTCCCAATCCTCTTCCTCCCTTCCCTGCCGCTCACCCCAGCGCTGGAGAGCAAGTGCAAGTCCAGCGAGAAGAAGGTGGACGCCCTCCTGAAGGACAAGCGGCGCCTGGAGGCGGAGCTGGAGGCCGTGTCCCGGAAGACCCACGACGCCTCGGGCCAGCTGGTCCTCATCAGCCAGGAGCTGCTGCGGAAGGAGCGGTGAGGCGGCTGTGGGGCGGCCAGGTCCTCCCTGTGGCCCTGGCCCTTGCTCTTGACATGAGCTTATGTTATCTTGGGGCAGGGAGGGGCGGCGCTGGTGGGCCAGGGGACTGATCACCAGCAGTCACCCTGCTCTCCTCTAAGCTCCAAGAAGGCCTCCAGCACCTCCACACGGTTCTCCAAGCAGAGTTTATAAAGAATAGGGCTGCCAGGCGCAGCGGCTCACGCCTGAAACCTCAGCATTTTGGGAGGCCGAGGCACGTGGCTCACAAGGTCAGGAGTTCAAGACCAGCCCGGCCAATATGGTGAAACCCCGTCTCTACTAAAAATACAAAAATTAGCAGGGTGTAGTGGCGTGCACCTGTAGTCCCAGCTCCTCAGGAGGCTGAGGCAGGAGAATCACTTGAACCCGGGAGGAGGAGGCTGCAGTGAGCCGAGATTGCACCACTGCACTCCAGCCTGGTGACAGAGGAAGCCTCCATCTCAAAATAATAATAATAATAAAGTTTTTTTTTTTTTTTTGTAATTAGCCACGCCTGGTGGTATGCACCAATAGTCCTAGCTACTTGGGAGGCCGAGGCAGGGTGATCTCTTGAGCCTAAGAGTTCGAGGCTGCAGCGAGCTGTGTTGTACCACTGCACTCCAGCCGGGGCAACAGGCAAGACCCTGTCTTAAAAAAAAAAAAAAAGAAAAAGAAAGAAAAGATTAATGCCTCCCAAAATGTTTGATCTCAGGGACCCCTTTAAACTCCTAAAAATTATTGAGGATCTCAAAGAGCTGTTGTTTGATTATTCTATATCTACCATGTTAGAATTAAGACAGAAATTGTAAGATACAAATCCATCTTAAAATAAGAAGCTAGGGTGGGTGCGGGGGCTCACGCCTGTAATCCCAGCACTTTCGGAGGCTGAGGCAGGAGGATCACTTCAGCCAAGGAGTTTGAGACCAGCCTGGGCAACATGGCGAAACCCCATCTCTACCGAAAATACAACATTTAGCGGAGCGTGGAGGCACACACCTGTAATCCCAGCTTCTCGGGAGGCTGAGGTAGGAGGATTACTTGGGCCCAGGAGGTCGAGGTTGCAGTGAGCCATGATCACACCACTACACTGCAGCTCACTGTCACTGGGTGACAGAGCAGGACCCTGTCTAAAAAAATAATAAATAAAATCCTGGTGCAGTGGCTCACGCCTGTAATTCCAGCACCTTGGGAGGCCGAGGCGGGTGGATCGCCTGAGCTTAGGAGTTTGAGACCAGCCTGGTCAACATGGTGAAACCCCATCTCTACTAAAAACAGGAAAAGTAGCCAGGCATGGCGGCACACTTGTGATCCCAGTTACTCAGGAGGCTGAGACAGGAGAGTCATTTGAACCTGGGAGGCGGAGGTTGCAGTGAGCTGAGAGTGTGCCACTGTACTCCAGCCTGGGCAAGAAGAGCGAAACTCTGTCTCAAAAAATAATAATAATAATTAAATAAATAAAAATCAGAAGATGTCACAGAAAATCCAGATTTCTCCAGATTCCCTTAATAAATGGGAAGATCTGACCAGGCATGGTGGCTCACACCTGTAATCCCAGCACTTTGGGAGGCAGAAACTGAATAATCACTTGAGCTCAGGAGTTCAAGACCAGCCCAAGCAACAAAGCAAGACCCCATCTCTATAAAAAAAAAAAAAAAAAAAAAAGAAAAATATCTGGACATGATGGTGCACACCCTTGGTCCCAGCTACTCAGGAGGCTGTGGTAGGAGGATTACTTGGGAGGGTTACTCAGGAGGTCGAGGCTGCATTGAGCCATGATCACACCATAGCCTGGGCGACAGAGCAAGACCCTGTCTTGAAAAACAGTAAGTAAAAGGCCGAGTGTGGTGGCTCACGCCTGTAATCCCAGCATTTTGGGAGGCTGAGGCAGGTGGATCATCTAAGGTCAGAAGTTTGAGACCAGCCTGGCCAACATGGTGAAACCCCATCTCTACTAAAAATACAAAGCTTAGACAGGCGTGGCTGGGTGCAGTGTCTCACACCTGTAATCCCAGCACTTTGGGGGGCTGAGGCAGACAGATCATGGGGTCAGGAGATTGAGACCATCCTGGCTAACATAGTGAAACCCCATCTCCACTAAAAATACAAAAAATTAGCTGGGCGTGGTGGCACATGCCTATAATTCCAACTACTCAGGAGGCTGAGGCAGGAGAATCCCTTGAACCCAGGAGGCGGAGGTTACAGTGAGCCAGGATCACGCCACTGCACTCCAGCCTGGGTAACAAGAGCGAAACTCTGTCTCTAATAATAATAATAATAATAAATACAATTTCAAAAAATAAATGGCAAGCTCTAACAACACAGGGCAGACTTCCAATGTGGCAATCACCCCACCATAGTTGGGGAGCCCCTGAGTCTCCTGGGGAGACCCCACTTTCCCTTCATTATTTTTCTTACTCTCAGTTCCTGGATGGGGTCCCTGAAGCATTAGCTTTTTTTTTTTTGAGACGGAGTCTCACTCCGTCACCCAGGCTGGAGTGCAGTGGCGCGATCTCGGCTCACTGACTCTCTTTGAAGCACAAACGTCCTTTTGTAAAACAAAAAACGCCGTCTCCTTTCCTCCTACACAAGTTAGGAGTTGCTCTAGTTACATTTGCTACAAATCTAGCACCTTTCTAGAAACTGCAGCCCTGCCCAGAAGGGAAACAGATGCGATGAGGCCACCTAGGAATTTTCCAGAACAACACTGCCCTCAGCAGATGCCTCCCGTGCCTTCTCCAGCAGGAACAAACCAGCCAGGCCCCTGGCCAGAGTTCCGGGGCCACCGCTGTCTCCCATCCTAAGTGGAAATGTTATTGTTGGTGCTCAGCCTGGTCTCACTTCTCCGAGGAAGCTTTCTGCCCTGTCTCAGCCACAGGATGCCCCTCCGATAGTCCCGATACAACTCCCTGGATCTGGTCTTCTGTTGTCTCTGAATTTTCTCTGTCGTTTGCAACCACATTTCCTCTTTCCCAGATCCTGGCTTTGTCCTGGTCTCCCTGCTGTCAACAGCCTCCTTCTATCCCGATTCCTCTTTCGGCCAGGTGCAGTGGCTCACGCCTGTCATCCCAGCACTTTGGGAGGCCGAGGCGGGTGGATCACAAGGTCAGGAGTTTGAGACCAGCCTGAGCAACATGGTGAAACCCCATCTCTACTAAAAATACAAAAATTAGCCAGGCGTGGTGGTGAATGCCTGTAATCCCAGCTACTCGGGAGACTGAGGCAGGAGAATTGCTTGAACCCATGAGGCGGAGGTTGCAGTGAGCCGAGACCACGCCATTGCACTCCAGCCTGGGTGACAGAGTAAAACTCCGTCTCAAAAGAAAAAAATAAAATTCTTTTCTTTTGTTTTTTTGAGACAGAGTCTTGCTCTGTCGCTCAGGCTAGAGTGCAGTGGCGTGATCTCGGCTCACTGTGACCTCCACCTCCCAGGTTCAAGTGATTCTCATGTCTCAGCCACCCAAGTAGCTGGGATTACAGGTGCCCACCACCACGACTGGCTAATTTTTATATTTTTATTTATTTATTTTTGAGACAGAGTTTCACTCTGTCGCCAGGCTGGAGTGCAGTGGCACAATCTTGGCTAACTGCAATCTTCGCCTCCTGGGTTCAAGCAATTCTCGTGCCTCAGCCTCCCGAGTAGCTGGGATTATAGGCACGTGCCACGACACTCAGCTAATTTTTGTATTTTTAGTAGAGACAGGGTTTTACCATGTTGGCCAGGCTGTTCTCAAACTCCTGACCTCAAATGATCTGCCCGCCTCAGCCTCCCAAAGTGCTGGGGTTACAGGAATGAGCCACTGTGTCTGGCACTCCCCCCAGAAAAACTTTATTTTATTTTATTTATTTATTTATTTATTTTTGAGACGGAGTTTCACTCATGTTACCCAGGCTGGAGTGCAATGGCGCGATCTCGGCTCACCGTAACCTCCGCCTCCTGGGTTCAGGCAATTCTCCTGCCTCAGCCTCCTG